AAATGTTTGATATATTTTTCTTTGATTAGTAAATTTGAAAAAGAATCGATTATAAATTTTCTATATTCGAATAATAATAAAATCTATCTTTAATCTATTCATATCAAAAAAAAACTCATAGCAAATTAATATCTGCAAAATAAAATATAAGATGAGCCAAATCTTTATAAAGGAATATATATAAGAAATTTATAGAATTATAACGAATTATTAATACGCCCAGATAATTATATATATTATTTTTTAAAAAACAGAATATTGTAGCGAATTTAAGATATTGAAACCACCTTTATAAGATATTTAAATTTAATCTCATTTCAGAAAAAAGATCTCGAATCTATTCAAATCTTTAATCTTGTGACCGTATCAAATTAAAAATTCTAGAAACCTAGTGAGCCTTTTGAATATTCGGATCAAAAAGAATAGTAGATTTAAAATGAGACCTTCAATCTAAAAGATTATTTGAGCGGATTTTATTCTCGAGAACTTCTCTTAATAATTCGCCTCATTTTAATCATTATAGTTACCTCAGAATAAATCTAAGGATCGCAGGAAAAGCCAAGATACATCCTTTAGAATATTATTTTAAAGATTTGCCCCATATATCAGAGATCTTGAAATATTATAGATGCAAGAATAATTCCGCCAATTATATTTCTATATCTTCAAATTAAATCTATTAAAATATTTACCGAAATTCTTATAAATAAATTTAGAATAGAAATTCAATTCGTATATTTATCGATATTATAATTCTCTTATAAAAATTCACAATATTTCGGAATTTAATTAAAAATTTAATGCCCTCAGCTACCGAAGCAGCCCTAGAGAGCATATATATTCTAATAATTTTTCGTATTTCTATAAGTTCTTATTATCCGATATATCAATAGATAATATATCTTATTAGTATCATCTATTCTAAAGATAGAGATTATCTATATATATATATATAGATATATTAAATCTATTATAGAAGATTCTATATAGATTATAAGATATTTTTCTCTCTTGTATATCTTGAAATATCTCAATATATGAGATGAATATTAGCTATATCTTTCGCATCATTATCGTTTCTTTGGTGGTGTTGTATTGATAGAATTCTTATTCTGGTTGTTGTTGTTATTCTTGTAGTGGATGTTGGTAGTAGTGATATTGTTAGAATTATTGATTATTGTCGGTGGTTGGTCCAAAATGAGCGCATTGGTCTAAATTGAGCATACCGACAGGGAATGCATAGAGTAACCTTTAAAACCCCCCCAAAAAAACAAGCTTGGCCATGACAAACAGCACTTGCAGCATTGCCAGCCTCAAGCACGTGCATCACTGCTTTTTCATAGGTTGGGCATTGGTCCCCGCCGTCCCAGAGTCGTGCAATAGATTTGCGATCATCCAGTACTGGAGGAATCACTGTGTGGGGGCCAGCAAACATCGAGTCGTCCCCTGTGAGTCTATGTGCCGTATCTCTCACACGGGATATGCTGCAAGTGCGGAATGTGTCCTGGGTTGGGTATCAACTGACAGACATCCTGTGAGTACGTTAGCGCTAAATTGAGCCGCCATCCGGGCAAAGTTCTGGAGCTCCCCTCATAGATCGAATTCGGACCTTTCTTTAAGAAAGGAAGGAGAGAAACGTTGCACTTGCAGAACGGTGGCCTCTTCGACCAAACTCCATGCGACTGCCGGACCTCTGTAGCCGGCATGGTACCACGGTTGCTCGACTTGTTCGAAGATATCCCATTTCCACCCACGAACCCGGTGGCTGGCTACCATTCTTGATCAGCATGAGGGGGAAAATCAACACAAGGAGGCTCGTGAGAGGATTTAAGCGCCTGCATGAACAGAGAACCACCAGGATGACACTTCAATGCTCACCAGAACCTGGGGTCCAAACCCAAACATCCAAACCCTAAACCCCTAAACCCCACACCCGAACCCCCAAACTCCCAAACCCTGAAAAACCTCAAAACCGCGAAACCCCAAACCCCTGGACCCTGAAGTCAACCCTGATGTCCAAACCCAAACTCTTCAAACCCCCCTAAAGCTTGTGTGGGTTTCTGAAGCCTGCCCTAAGTCTGCGATCCTCCATGCCATGTCCTATAGTAGAAGCCAGAATCTTGGAACATTATCATCCTCATTCCCGTAAGGCAAAGTATAAGGGATCTATAGTTCGTTGGGGCTTAGGGTTAAGCCTTTAACGGTTTTGGGGCTTAGGCTTGTAGAGTGTAGGGCTTAGGCTAATCGTAGGAACTAGGGCTTACCAGGTTTACAGGGTTGAGGAGTTACAGGGCTTCGGGTTCAGAGCCACGGCAATACACCTCATCGAAACTCAAGGCTCCAGACGGTCCAGAAATCCCAGACCTCAAACATCAAAACTCGAGGCGAACCCAGGAGCCCTTTTTGGAAGGACCCGCAGGCCTGGAATCCGAAATGGCTTAGCGAAGATAGGCTTGGCTCTACAAGTGATCCATGAAGTGCTGCGCGGCTACTGCAGAGGTCCTGCACCAGCCAAGCTGGTTCCCAGTCCTTCTCAAAAGATGGGAGTCGCATCAAAACAGGCCGGCGTCGATCGCCGGCAGTCGGGTGCATTTTTTGGGCTTGCAGCCTACAGCGTCACTGTTGAACGCGTCTGTTTGGGCTTGGAGTTGAGAGCTTCAGAATTGGGGAGTTTGGGGTTTCGAGGTCAGGCCTTTCTTAATCTGCGGATATCAAGTGGCAGTTGCTTCGCTTGTCAATCCTAGCCCCAAACCCAACCGATGAACTGCAATGAACCAACTGCCTAATGTCTCAGAGTGCAAAGTCAAGCACTATCAAAAGAGTCCGCCCCCACGAACTCGTGAATCCAAACCTAAATCCTACTGCCATATAGTCATAGCCGGCAAATTTCAGCAGAGAAATATCCTGGAACATAAACAACTTAGTAGTTCTGGTAATCTGACAGCTTCTTGCGATTTAAGGCTTTACAGGTTTGCTGGTTAAGTCCACACCTGCGACCAAAGTGCATGGCTGGTGGTCTAGGTCTTCGGGTTCCGGCTGCATCTGCTGCAGCTTTGGGTGCTTAGGATTCATATAAAAAAACCGAATAAAGACCCAACGTTTCTTCATCAGGTTCCTATAGTCTCCTATACTTGGGGCTTAGGGGTTAGGGTTTAGTGGTTTGGGGGGGCCTATAGGGCTGTGCGCGCGCTCCTCAGAGTGCCGAAATGCAGAGACTGCACAACAGCCGGGGCAAAGCCAGGAGCCGGGACTGATACTGAAGGTTTCCTGCAAGTTCAGATCTGTCTTGTGTCTGTGCGTGTATGTATATATATATATATATATACATATACATATAGATGTATATCACCCATGGCGAACCCCCGTCCAGGCTTCACAGCTCACACTCAATGCTCTCGCCGATCTCGTTGAGCGTTTTCTGCAGGGTTTAGGATTTAGGGTTTGGGGGCTGGGGTTTAGGGTTTAGCAGGGTGCCGCCGCGCTTGGAAACGTCAAGGCTTTGGGCTTCTTGGGGACTGCCTGACTGCATGCCAAGACCGTGACGCGCACAACCATCCTCATCCCGAAACCAGCAACCTACTGGTTCAAGTAGAGTTTGCAGTCTAATTACAACCGGGCCTCTCAAGAGAAGGTGCTTCTAACTACTAATAAGGCCCCAGATGGCCTGAAGCACCATTATAAGGAACCCTATGGAACAGTAGTACTACTTTTTGTACCCTCAACCAGGGTTTAGGGTTTAGGGATCAGGGTTTAGGGATTAGGGCCTAAACCCTAAACCCTCAACGCTGAACCGTGAATCCCTCAAGCAAGCGGCCTGAAGCGTGTTCACCCTCTTCAGGATCTCTTGATTCTCCTGCCGCAACATAGCCAGGTCGATGTTCCTGCAGAACAGGGCGGAGACTATGCACTTGGCGTATGGGCTCAAGACATGCGCATTCCTGCCTCGGGGCCCTAAACACAACTGTGGAATAGGTCGGGTTTCTATAGGGGCTTAGTGTAGGGGCCTTAGTACTTAGAAATACGGCTTCTGGGTATACTGTAGCGCAGTCCTTCGACCCAATCCCAACAGACGAGATTCACCGAGACGCCTCCAAAAACACAGCCCCGGCCTCGCAGCGCCCTTCAGGCGCGCGACGCCGGCGACCAATTCTGCAAGGGCTTTTGCCGAGGTTGAGCGGTTAGGAACCTGCTAGAAATCAATATATATATATATAGAATCATAAAAATATGCATAAATACATATGTACATACATACATACATACATACATACATACATACATACATACATACATACATACGTACATACATACATACATACATACATACATACATACATACATATGTATGTTACACTAAACTCTAATCTGTATAGGTGTTGAGTGGCACAGGTCAGCAGTTGAGCGAGTTCAGGAGTCAATGGCTCAAAGTTGTAGGGGTGTAGAATGCCGGGCATGCTTCACGGCTTCGGGACAAGCGTGAGTAGTTAGGGTGTAGGGCGAAGGGTTTATGGTTTAGGTTGAAGGATTCCAGCTTCGGCTTGGTTTCGGAGTCGAGAGTGCATCCGCATCCCAAGATTAGTTACTTCATGCCGCAAAACCAAACTAGAGGGAATGATAGCGCGGATCATCCTCTTCCCAGCTTCTACTTTGCTTGATGTTTACCCTAATTAAGCCTCAACCCTATCACCCCAAACCCTACGCCCTGAATAGGGTTTTGGGGTATGCTATACTATAAAAATAGAGGGACCATAAGGGAATACTGTCGTTAAGTACTCAGGCTCTCATAAGAGGCATCCGCACCCCCAAGGTGCCTCGGGCAGAGAGATCTTCAGAGTCTAGCTGCTCAGAGATGAGCTGAAAGACCCCCTGGGCATCCGAGACATCCAGTCCTCGGACGAGCTAGGTGTAGGATCTGGGATTTAGGCTTTAGGGTAGAAGTTCCGAACCCCAAAACCTGTAGGGGCGGAGGTCCTCCAAATTAGGGGCATCTTCATCATTCAGGATTCCTTGCGGCGACGATCCTACGATGTGGGGTGTACATCACCGGCAAGCATTTCTGAGAAATCCACCAGCCATGCTCACTGGAGCTTGCGATGCTGGACCTCACTTCTGGCACTCATAAGCCAAGTAAGAATACCCGAAATTTGCCCGAAACCTTTCTTCGAAACGATCATCCCTAAAGCCCTTAAACCCAGAAACCTTAAACCCTGCCTTGCACCCCTAAAGCCCTAACGCAATCACTCTTTTCTGCCACGGAACCCATGGCCGAAAGCCATATCTGCGGAAGATTTAAAGCTGAGACCACAGTTATGGTTTACGGCTTGGGGTTCAGAGTTCAGGGGTTTGGGTTTGGGGTTTTGGGGTTTAGAGCTCAAGGCGGCGAAAAACAACCGTTTTGCGTGTAGACCAAGCTCATTCAATGTTGGCAAGCTTCTTCAACAAACCATGCCTTCAGAAATGCTGCCGAGGCCCAACACCTTCTAGCCCCTTTGTACTTGAAACCCCGGGCCCTGTTCTTCTTCTAAGAGTTTGAGCGCTCTGCCTTCCTGGAAGGGGTCACATGGATCGGAGTTTCGTTCAGGCTTTGGAATGCTTCAATTCTAGCAGCCTGTAATTAGACTCTACTACCACAACAACATCAACAACAACAAC